TGTGTACTGGGCAGCTCTACCCTATGCACCGGGCAGCTCTACTCCATGCACCGGGCAGCTCTACTCCATGCACCGGGCAGCTCTATCCTGTGCACCGGGCAGCAGCTCCACTCCCACTGGTGCTGCTGCCACAAGGCCATCTACTCATGGCACTGTCTTCCTGACTCCTCACTCCCAGATCCCACTAGCCCCCTGCCTCTCTCACTCTGCAGTGGGCCCTTCCAGAGTGAGAGAGGCAGCAGTTTCCTCACTGAAGTCACCAGGTTTCTTTCAGAAGTGTTTAGAAGTTGAAAAGTGACAAAACTTAAACTCAAAAGACCTTTAACAAAAAATGAGACTACGTTACTGGAATGGTTCAAAGAACTGAAGGGGAACAGGAAGAAGCAGAGCAGCTTCAGGAAGCCCAGGGCAGGCTGGTTCCCAGAAAGCAACCCCCAAGATGAACATTCCTGTGGAGGAAGTCAGCTCATTAGGGAGAGCCTGCAGAAAGGAAAGAAGCAGGGTTAGGCGAAGGGAGAACCTGAGGTGTGAAAAACCGCATCAGTTGGCAGAAGCCCCACCTCCCCTAGGGGAGTTCTGAAGCTGGGGTGATGGTGCCAAGTTTTCATCTCCCCATGTTGGTTGGTTGCCCTGACTTGAGGCAGGGATGCCAGGTCTATACCCTACATCATAAAGGAGGGTGTGACCTTAGACAAGGCAGGTCTCCTCAGCTGAGTTACTGTAGGAGATGAGCAGCCCAGGGCTTCCGGCTAGCAGCTCCCAGCAGCTTGAAGTAAACACTCCTTCATCCTGTTACAGGCTGAAAGTTCATATCCTCTGCCACCCCACCCCAAGTCATATGTTGAAGCCCTAACCCCCACCATGACTGGATTTGGAGACGGGGTCTGTGAGGTGATAAAGGCTAAATAAGTCATGAGATTGGCACCCTAATCCAAGAAAGCTTGTGTCCTTATATGGGGAAGAAAAGACATCAGAGCCATCTCTCTCCACCATGTGAAGACACAGAGAGAAGGCAGTTGTCGGCAAGCCAGGAAGCGAGACCTCACCAGAAACCATGCTGGCACCCTGATCTTAGGCTTTCCAGTCTCCAGAACTGTGAGAAAATAAATTTCTTTGTTTAAGCCACCCTGTCTATGATATTTTTGTTATTATGGCATTTCTAGCTGACGAATACAATTTCAAAGGGCAGTTCAGCATATTCCAGGGGCCAGCACAGGAGCTGAATCAGGGACCAATCCAGTTACTCAGGGCTCTCTCTCTCTCCCCTCTCTCTCAGTCTCTCTCTCTCAATTTCTCACTCTACCTCTGCTCTTTTCCCTAAATTATAAGAGACAACATGACCATCTACAGCCCCTCCTCTGAAGCCATGATCCAAGCAAGAGAAGCACTCTCCCTCAGACTTCAATCTGAAAGATCCCAGGAAGGACTCTGGTTTGCCCATTTTATACCATGTGCACCCTCCTGGGCCATGCCAGAGGTCAACAGCATGGAGCACTATGATTGACTTTGCCTTTAACCAAATGGGCTAGATTTGCTATCAAAAGGCAAAGGAGCAAGAGAGATATGCTGAGCAGAAACAGGAAACAGACATGGCACCCATTATTTTACCAATCATTTGCTCAGTCAAGTGTCAGTAACTTCTCACTTCTAATCCCAGCACTTTGGGAGGCCACGGTGGGCAGATCGCTTGATCCCAGGAGTTCAAAACCAGCCTGGGCAACATAGTAGAATCCAGTCTCTATAAAAAATACAAAAATTAGCTCAGCCTAGTGGTGTACACCTGTAGCCGCAGCTACTTGGGAGGCTGAGGTGAGAGGATCACATGAACCTGAGAGTTTGAGGCTGCAGTGAGCCATGATCACACCACTGTACTTCAGCCTAGGTGAAAGAGTAAGACCCTATCTCAAAAAAAAAAAAAATTAGGGCTGGCACAGTGGCTCAAGCCTATAATCCCAGCACTTTGGGAGGCTGCGGTGGGTGGATCACTTGAGGTCAGGAGTTCGAGACCAGCCTGGCCAACATGGTGAAACCCTGTCTCTACTGAAAAAAATATAAAAATTAGCTGGGCATGTTGGCAAGTGCCTGTAATCCCAGCTACTCTAAAGGCTGAGCCTGGAGAATTGCTTGAATGCGGGAAGCAGAGGTTGCAGTGAGCTGAGATTGCACCTTTGCACTCCAGCCTGGGCTCAAAAATAAAAAAATTAGCAGCTCACCAACCATGTAACATCAAGCAAGTCAGTGCCTCACCTTTTGGAGCTTTCTCCTCCTCTGTCAAGTGGTGATGACCATGGTCGTAGTGAGAATAAATTAGATAATGCATATAATAAGCACGCATGGCACAGGGTTGGCACGTCATAAATGTCCAATTGAAGATAACATTTATTACTTTTATTATCTGGCTACTGCTATAAGAAAATATAATTTTGCATCTCAAACTTCTGAGCCAATTTTCAAAGCATGGATGATAAGAAAAATCCAATTATATTTGCCCCAGGTCCCAAAACTCATAAAGTTACCTGGAATATGCATTTTTCAAATAAGGATATTAAAGCTCAGAGAAGTTAATAACTATCTTGAGATGTCACTAAAAGAATAGATAGGGCTGGAATCAACAACCCTGACCTCTAATAGCATCCCCAGATACCCCCAAACCAGCTGCCACTCCACCCTGCCATTGTCTCCATGGACACCCGCAACCAGACCCTAACCCGTCCTAGCCCAGAGATGCAGCCTCATCTTTTTGTTCCCAGACACCCAAGCTATATGATCAAGCCCAGGGCTGCTCAGTAAGCATTGCTGTGATGGAATTGAAACCCTATGGGATATCTAGAAAGCAAGTGGGATATCTGGAAGTAATAAACTTCTGACTGCTTGTTCATTTGGAACCCAGTGGGGGTAGCACAGATTCTTCTCACCTCTCTTCCTTAAGAATCAATAAAAGTGTAGTGATGCATTTAGCAGAGGGAAATAAATGAAACAACCTTTTCTGGGACTGATACTTTGGTTACATGCCTAAAAGTCACTTGGGGTTAATTTGATATATCACTTGGTAATTGAAGTACAAATTTTAAAAACTGAGTCTTTGTGTCCTGAGAAGAAAAAGAAGTGTTTGATTGGCCAAGGGATGTGGGAGCAACAAGTAGAAAGTAGCATTTTTAGTTGAGCCTTGAAGGATGAATAAGTAGGGCTGGGCATTCCAGGCAAGAAAAGACAGTGTGAGCAAAGATACAGAAGTAAGAAATGAGGAATGTGTTTGGGACCGGCAGGAGCAGATGGGAGTTCAGGGGTGTTTGGTGAACGTCAGAGGCTGGCCTGAGTCGGGGTGAGGCTGGCTGCAATGGCCCCTGCACTGCCCCCAGGCTAAGCAGAGGTATGAAGTTCCAGAGGAGGGTGTTCAGACAAAGGCATTCAGACTTCGAAGCAACAGAATTTGGGGACAAATTTGTTTTTTTCTGCTCCTAACTTAGGAAGGCGGTAGGAAGACAGACCTGAGTTCAAATCCCACTTCTGCCATTTCTGTGATATGAGGTTTTATGCAAGTTATTTAAACCCTGGTGAACCATTGTTTTTTCAGATGCTAGGGACAATAAGAACGCTCCCCTTAGAGTATGTAAACCCAGTGCCTGCAGGTGCCAGGGAAGTGAAGTAAATAACATCAACTGACTATAAAGTAACAAGTACTAGAGACTGCATTCAACTCTAATCCTAAAAGTAGTCAGACTCAAACATCTAAAAATATTGTGCAGACTAAACAAAATGCACTTTGGCAGCCTATAGCATGTGAATTCTTGACTATCTCATAAGGTTGTTGCAAGAATTAAGAGAGATAGTAAATATAAAGTGTTTTGCACAGTAGAGGAGTCAGACAAAAAAAGAGTTCATATGCTATTATTCATTTATATGAAGTTCAAGAATAGGCAAACTAATCTATGGGGAGAAAAGTGTTTACCTGGGAGGAGGAAGGGAGATTGGCAGTGAGTGAGTATACAGGAACCTTGTGGTGTACTGCAAATGTCTTATGTCCGGTTCTAGTTTTGGTTACATGTTTGTAAACATATATAAAAATTCATTGTGATATACACTTAAGTCTTATGAGCTTTATTGCAACAAGTTGCCCTTCAATCAAAAGGGAAATTTTAAAACAAGTCTTTCACAGGGCAATAAGAGCTTAATGAATGGTTGTAGTAGTTATTATTATCATTACTACTTTTACTACCACTTTCATTATTAGTAAGCCACAAAGTCAGTAAAACAACCAAATGAGCAACAAACAATCATCAAAAGGCCCGCCAGATACTGGGTGCTGAGTGTTTATGTCAGATGACATTTCCCAATAATGACTACACATAGGTACTTAGCCCTCCATAAACATAGGTTCCACACATCTTTACTTGTCATTATTTCCTAAACAATATTGAATAACAACTATTTACATAGCATTTATATTAGATATTACAAGGAATCAGAGATTATTTAAAGTACACGGGAGGATGTGTGTATTATATGGAAATTCTACATCATTTTATATCAGGGACTTGAACATCTTCGGATTTTGGTGTCTAAGGAAGGTCCTGGAACTAATTCCCCATGGATACCAAGGAATGAGGCTGTGTGTATGTGTGTGTGCATGCTATGACATGTTTCGTTTCTCCCATGTTTCATGGTGGCAAGTGCCTAAAGATGGATCCCTCCCACCCACAGATGGATCCCAGGCTTCTTAGCCTGGGAACTGGATATTTGAGTCAAGAAGCCTTTTCAATGGCCCTAGACATCATCTGACTACAGCTTCATGAGAGACCCTGAGCCAGAACCACTCAGCCAAGCTGCTCCTGCATTCCTGACCCATAGAAATCATAAAAGATTTCTATGCTCCCTCCCCTTGGATCTGGGATGGGCTTATGACTATTCTCACCAATACAGTGTGGCAGGTGTGATGCTATGTGACTTCTGAGACAGGTCATAAAAAGCATATGACTTCCATCTGGCTCTCTCTTGAAACACATGCCTTGGGAGCCCTTCTTCCTATGCTGGAGAAAGTATGTGGAGAGACTACATAAAGATGCCTGAGAAGCCCTGGCTATTCCAGCCCTTAGCTATCCAAGACTTCTTAGCCTGGGAACTGGATATATGAGTCAAGAAGCCTTTTCAATGGCACTAGACACCATCTGATTGTAGCTTCATGACAGACCCTGAGCCAGAACCACTCAGCCAAGCTGTTCCTGCATTCCTGACCCGTTGAAATCATGAGAGATAATCAACAATCATTATTCCCTAAGCCAGTAAGTTCTGAGGTGATTTGTTAGCAGCAATAGATAACTGACATAGATGTTGGTACCTGGAAGGTGGGTGAAGCTGCAACAACAAAAACTAAAACTGGAGCAGCATCTTTGAGGGCGGGACTTGGAAGGACATTGGAGAGACCATGCCATCCAATGGCTTCAAGGAGGTGGACTGGAGCCATAAAATTGAAAGACACAATCCCAAATGCCATAATTCTGAACATTGAAATCCTGAAAGATTAAAATGCCAAAAATAGACTTTCAGAAAAAAATAACTTTAACTATTATTTAAAGGACATTTATTTGCATTTTAAAAGGGGTTTTATATGGGAAACATATAAAAAATGACAGAACACAAATAAAATTTCCATTTTATTTGATAAAATAGGCAATAATAACCTACATATTTTTGTAAGCATAAGTGCTCATGTATTCTAGGGACAGTCACAGGAGTACAACAGTTATGAGTAGATCAACCCTATTCATAAAGAAATAGGTCAAAAAGTGAAATGTACAAACACCTGTCACTATAGTTGTAGTTGCGTGCACCCAGCTTTATAACTGCAGTTGTCTGAAATACTGTGATGGACAACTTATGTTTTTTGATGAGATTCTTCCAAAACCACCATGGGTCACCATTGCATATGCGGTTGCCCAGAGAACCAAGATTCTAAGAGATTTTATTTTTTTATTTTTAACAATGCAGATGTACAAAAAGGACATATTATTATTTTTTGAGGAAGTTTCCATGTTTTTACATTGAGAATCAGGACAGTCAATTGTGTTACTCTCTGTCTGAGGTCAAAAGCCCCAGGACCTGGATAAAACCTGCTGTAAGTCCTAGATTCCAAAGGCTGGTGAGCCTGAAGTTCTGATGTCCAAGGCAGCAGAAGAAAAACCTGTCCCAGCTCTCAGAGAGAGACCAATTCACCTTCTGTATTTGTTCTTTCTGGGCCCCCTGATGATTAAATGGTGCTCACCAATATTGAGGGCAATATTCCCCACCTGGTCCACTCAGACTCACACATTAATCTCCTCTGGAAACACCCTCACAGACACACCCAAAATAATGTTTCACCAAGTTTGCAGACATTCCTTATTCCAGTCAAGTTGACACCTCAAATCAAGTCCACAAGTCCACCCTTGACAACTTGGCACCCACACGTACCTCCTGAAGCCTCCTTAAATAAAGACAATAACAAGGTCATAGTTCCGCTTAACATGATGCAGCTATCATGTGTACAACCAAAAACATGGTAATTCCTTCCCCAGAATTTTGCTTTCAGGATTTCAACATATCAGATTTTAATCTTTCATGATTATGATTTATAGAATTTCAGACTTTGGGGATTTTGATCTTTGTGGTATTTTATCTTTTAGTATTTCGACATTCAGATATATGGCACTTGGAATTGTGTCTTTTGGGATTATAACCAGTACTGCAAGAAGGCTATCTATGAGTACTTAATGGAAAGCAAGAAAGATGATGTTAGAAAATGGTGGAAAGAGAATCCTTATAATATAGTCTATCAGTCTGTTTGGACTGCCATAACAATATATCATCAACTGGGTAAATTAAACAACAAAATTTATTTTTCACAGTTCTGGAGGCTTAGAAGTCCAAGATCAAGTTGCTGGCTGATTTGATTCCTGGTAAGGGCTCTCTTTCTGGCTTGCGGATGATGGCTGTCTTACTACAGTGTCTTCACCTGGAAGAGCAAGAGCTCTTATGTCTCTTTCTTTCTCTCCCTCTCTCTTTTTGCTTTTTTTTTTTTTTTCAGACAGAATCTTGTTCTGTTGCCCAGGCCAGAGTACAGTAGCACAATCTTGGCTCACTACAACCACCACCTCCCAAGCTCAAGTGATTCTCCCACCTCAGCTCCCAAGTAGCTGGGACTACAGGCACATACCACCATACCCAGCTAACCTTTTGTATTTGTAGAGACAGGGTTTTACCATGTTGCCCAAGCTGGTCTCGGAGCTCAAGTGATCTGCCCACCTCGGCCTCCTAAAGTGCTGGGATTATAGGTGTGAACCATGGCACCCAGCCCTCTTCCTCTTCTTTAAGGGTCCTGGCCTGATAGAATTAGCACCCCACTCTTATGAACTCATTTAACCTTTATCACCTCCTCTCTGACCCTGTCTCTAAACACAGTCACATTAGGGATTAGGGTTTCACCACATGAATATGTGAGAAGACATAAATGTTCAATCCACAGTATAGAGTGAGGGGAAATTCAGCAATACTCTCTTCTTCCGTAAAATGGAAACTAGAAAATGTACCTAATGAATTGGATGATCTAGCAAAGGAGATTTCCTGGTAGAGTGTTGAAGGTGCCACCTGGATTCTGGTTGCTTATAATAAAATGTGAAAAGTGAGAAGATGTGTTAAAGAAAGAAGCATTGAACATAAAGGGGCCAGGACTTGCTGGGTTTGAAAAAAAATGTCTTACTGCTAAATTCTCCAGACAGGAAATGATACTGAAATTTTAAAACGTCCTCCAGGCAAAGATCAAATTCAGTGTCCTCACAGGAAAAATGATCTAAAGATGACATGACAGAGTGAATGCAAAGCCCTTTATTAAGACCTCAAAAATATGTAAGGTGGTGCTTCAAAGGGGAAAAAAGAGGTCCCTCACCTATAAACAATAGGGCTTTTGGTAATCTTAATTGCAGTGTCCCATAGCAGCCTTACAGAAAACTCAAGATGCAAAGTAGCTTATCTCATTGATACTTGTAGTTGTGACTTTTAACTAATGGAGTGAAAGCCAATAGGATTCATAGAGTGTTATGTATAGATTATAAGGTTATTACATTGTGTGAAATATTGCCTGCATAGATTAAAAGGGACACTGACCATATACAATGAAAATGGGTCTTTGCAGGAGGCAGAGGTTGCACATGAGCCAAGATTGCATCATTGCACTCCAGCCTGGGCAACAAGAGCAAAACCCCATCTCAAAAAAAAAAAAAGAAGAAAGAAAATAAGCCTTTGGACTTTTAAACCACTATAAGAGAGCAGGCTGAGAAAACTACTTAGTTGCAAACACTGGCTGTTTTTTATGAAAAAAGAAAAGATGACTCAGCTTCTGCTTCTGAGCCCAGAAATTGGAGCCAAGAGCCATAGAGAACCATTCTCAGACAGTAGGACTGAGTTCTAACCAAGAAACTACCTGCATTCCCAGCAGAATTTCAGAATTGCTGAAGCCCCCTGTGTACCTCCCATTTATCTTTTTTCTTCCTTTTTCCAGGATGATCTATAATGCTTATCCTATGTCTGCCCTATTATTGTATATTAGTTAGAGGGAAAAGAATATATTTCTTTTTCATGGGTCTATAGATCAAGAGGAACTATAAGGAGGTGCTATATTTGAGATATTTACCCAAGGAGTCTCATCTGAACCTGGACCCAATTAGATGACAAGACCTGGGAGTTCAAACTGATGCTATAATATGATGAGACTTTTGTGGACCTTGGGAAGGGACAAGTGTATGTCCAATAGGAAAGCTATGAATCATCAAGCCTCCTTAAATAAAGGAGTCAAAGGTAGACAGAGGTAGCCAGCCTCCTATGATCCTTGCCCCCTGGTATCCTTGCCCTAACATAATCCCCTGCCGCACTGAATCATAGCTAGCCCTAAGTAACCAATACAATACAGAAGAAATGAGGCTGGGTCATAAAAGGCCTTGCAGCTTCTGCCTTGGACACTCAGACCTCTTGCTCCAAAGGAAGCCAACTGCCATGATGTGAGACATCCATGGTGCCCTATAGAGAGTAACTGAGGCCCCCTCCATTAGCCAGCATTAACTGATCTGTCAGTGAGTGATCCACCTTAAGAATAGATCCTCCATCTCCAGTCAAGCCTTCAAATGACTACAGCCCTGGCTGACATTGGAGGCAAGCTCATAAGTGACCCTGAGCCAGAACCACCCAGCTATGCTGCTCCAGAATTTCCAAACTATGGAATGCTTCAAACTATGAGAGGGAAGAAACGATTATTGTTATTAAAGCCATTAAGTTTAGGGATGATTATTACACAGCAGTAAATAACTAAAACAACTCTATAGGACATGTAAAGAACTTGCAATAGAGTGAGAAGAAAATGTATAGATACTGGAGAACACACAGTTTAGGGCAGCATGAGATTCACCCAACCATCCTGTTAAAGGACAGTTTCTCTCCCTGCTAGAGCGTTGGCAGAAGTGAGGAGCTTGGGAGTGGTGAGATTTTGGGAGACAGTTTCAAGAGGTGAGTTGGCACCTTAGAGAGAAGGTTCTCTTTTCAGCATTAAATTCCATCAGGTCCTGGCTTTGTTGTTGCAAAACAGATCTTTCCATTTACAGAGCTCTTTTGCATTAGCTCTGTCACTGTGGGAAAGAGGCAGGTCAGGGATTATCTTGCCTATAAAACAGAGGATAAAACTGAGGGTCCCACTGGGTAATTGGCTTGTCTGAGCCCTGAGCACTTTCTGCTTCCATAACAGCTCTCAGCAGCACAGAGTTGCCTTTGGCTGCCAAAAGAATCTGAATTCAAAATGCCAAGGCTGGCTGGGCATGGTGGCACACACCTGTAATCCCAGCACTTTGGGAAGCCAAGGTGGGCAGATCATGAGGTCAGGAGTTCAAGACCAGCCTGGCCAACATAGTGAAATCCTGTCTCTACTAAAGATACAAAAAAAAAAAAAAATAACTCAGCATGGTGACATGCACCTTAATCCCAGCTAGTCAAGATGCTGAGGCAGGAGAATTGCTTGAACCTGGGAGGTAGAAGCTTCAGTGAGCTGACATTGTGCCATTGCACTCCAGCCTGGGAAACAGGGTGAGACTCAGTCTCAAAAAAAAAAAAAACCTGCCAAGGCTGGGCCATAAACACACATTAAGAAACAATGTGAAGGGAAAATGCAGGCCAATTGCTCTGAGACCCTCCTCAATAAGTAATAACAGACTTTGGCTGCTTTAAAACAATAATTCATACCTATTAAAATCTGTCCCTCAGAGTGCTAAAGCTGAACTAATATCACAGCCAAGATTATGCCTCTTTTCACCATGTGACCTCAGGCCTTCTGGGTCTCTGAGCCTGATAAGTATTATGTGGGATTAGACTGCCTGGTCTCTAAGGCTTCATGTGGTTCTGACATCATAGGATTCATGAGGAATTTGTGGGCCCTTCAACATGAAAGTTGGCATAATAATACCAGGCGGTTTCCATCTTGAGTCTCCAATCTACAAGATCAATGCCAAACAGGAAATTGCAGGCAGTAATTTATTCTGAATTCTCCCACCATGGGACTTGTTTATATACATTGCTACACGGACTCTAATAAAACATTAAACCGATGAGGAAGGTTTCTGCCAGCTTCCCCAGTCCCCTGACATATGCTCCCTTTTCTGCCAGTATCCCCTGGAGAGAGGACCTCCCTAGGACTACAGCTGTGATCCAGAAAAACTGCAGAGAGCCAGGCAGGAGGTTGGCGGTAAAAACAACTAAGCCCATAAAATGAAATGACATAAGAATAAAATAAAATATTATAAAAAATAAAATGACCAAGCTAGATGAATATCGGAGGACCCTCTGATCAATACCCGCCTTTGGTGTGTATGTCCAAAGGAGGAGAGACACAATTTGGAGTATCTGCCTGCCCAGCCTTGCCCAGTTGACTCTGCCCTACTGTATTAGTCTGGGTGCTCCAGAGAAGCAATACCAATAGAGTAGGTATATAGATACAGATATGTAGATATATAATAAAGAGATTAACTATCAGGAATTAGCTCACCCAAGTGTGGAGACTGAGAGGTCCAAGATCTGTAGCCAGCAAGATAGAGACCCAGAAGAGCCAATGGTGTAGTTCCAGTCTGAGTGCAAGGCCTGAGAACCAGAAGAGCCAATGGTATAAATTCCAGTCTGAGTCCAAGTCCAAAGGCAGAACACTGATGTCCGAGTTTCCAAGACAGTCAACCAGAGAGACAGAATTCTTTCTTACTCAGCCTTTCTTTTTCTTTAGGCCTTCAATGGATTACATGAAGCTCACCCACATTGGGGAGGGCAATCTCCTTTACTCTATCTTCCAAATCAATGTTAACCTAATCCAGAAACATGTCGCAGACACACCCAGAAATAATGGTTAGCCAAATATCTGGGCACCATGTGGCCCAGTCAAGTTGACTCTTAATATTAGCCATCACATCCACTGAGGCCCTGAAGGAATAGAAATTTGCCAGAATTAGCTGGGCGCAGTGGCTCATGCCTGTAATCCCAGCACTTTGGGAGGCTGAGGGGGGCAGATCACGAGGTCAAGAGATCAAGACCATCCTGACCAACATGGTGAAACCCTATCTCTACTAAAAAATACAAAAATTATCTGGGCGTGGTGGCGCAGGCCTGTAGTCCCAGCTACTCAGGAGGCTGAGGCAGGAGAATTGCTTGAACCCAGGAAGCAGAGATTGCAGTGAGCCGAGATCGTGCCACTGCACTCCAGCCTGGTGCCTGGTGACAGAATAAGACTCTGTCTCAAAAAAAAAAAAAGAAAGAAATTTACCAGAATTATACCTTGGCAAAACAGTAAGATGAAGTAAGGTCTAGTAACTGACCACTGTCGATCCTGGTGCCTGGTCTATTGGGCTTGGCTCTAGGATCCCAAGTGAGAACTGAGCTGACATTGTATTTTATAGTAGCCATTGTCATTTCATATGAGAGAATAGCATACCTCCAATCTTTCCCCATTACATTAATCTGCACAGTAGAACATAGGACCAGTAATAGCTAGAAACAAGGGAATGAAAACTCCATTAACTTGAAGGCTAAATTGTGATCCCCTAAAGCAGGAATGCCTGAGAGTTTGGGGAGAGCGAAGTGTTCACTCTGAAGAAGGAAATTACCAGTGTGGAGCTGTACAGGTTGTGGGCCAACATGGGAAGCAGAAATGTTTCAGCAGAATATGCAGAATCAGGACAAAGCAGATGACAGGGAATTGAATGGTAAGAGGCGGACCCAAGACAAGGTCACCCGTGTCTTGACTCCTAATCCAGTGCTCCCTCTGCTGAGCTGTGAAGAAGCAAAACTCAGAGCTTGGGCTCAGAAACAAACACCAACTTGTTATCAAATAAAAGTGGGACATCAAATACCAGCTCCTACTCTGGAGCACCTCACACACACAAACCCACCACTGCTGGACATGAGCACCCAGTGTGGACATGATGGAGTGAAGATGGGACAACCGAGCTACTTGATTGGCCCAGGTTCCAGGAAGCTCAAAGGCAGAAGCTGCAGGGGTATGAAGCCTGGGTCTTGGCCTGGTTGCAGGATGGCAGAGTAGATGCTTCACTCTCTCCCAGTGATACAGGCTACTCACCCCTATATCAGTTACCTGCTGTAGCAGCCCATAATTAGTCTTTTTTATCATTAACATGCTCCCTTTCTGAACTCAGTATCTGCCACCCACCCCCCTCCTCCCCATTCTCCAACCCTGGAGACTTAGCCAGTGCAAGGACTCACTGGTATCACAGCCTCACCTCTTCCCTGTGAATCATGACTTAGCTCATCCTGAAGACCACAGGGCACCTAGTAGCCCTTTCCCACTCCATCCCTGAAGATACCAACCCAAATCCCAGCCTCATGGCCAGTGGCTTTGCATGCCCAGCTTCCCCTGGCAGGGTAAAGACAGACAACAGGACTCCCTCTGTTCCAATCCTGTACCGAGAGGACTAGGAGACTACCATCTGAATAGACATCTCCAAAGAAGACATACACATGGCCAATAAGCCCATGAAAAGATGCTCAATGTCATTAGCCATTAAGGAAATGCAAATCAAAACCACAATAAAATACCACTTCATACCCAATAAGATCGCTACTATCAAAAAAAGAAAAAGAGCAAGTATTATTAAGAATGTAGAGACATTGGAAATGTAAAATGGTATGGTCACTGTAGAAAAGAGGTTGCTGTCCTCTTAAAAAGTTAAACATAGAATTACAATGTAATCCAGCAATTCCACTCCAAGGTATCCAAGATAATTAAAAGCAAGAACTCAAACAGATACTTTACACCAATATTCATAAGAGCAATATTCACAATAGCCAAGAGGTGAGAACAACCTGTGTCCACTGACAGATGAACAGATGAAATGTAGGATAGACATACAATAGAATACTATCTAGCCCTAAGAAGAAATGAAATTCTGATACATGCTGCAACATGGATGAGCCTTGAAAACATGCTAAGTAGAATAAGTCAAACAAAAAATATAGCTATTATATAATTCCACTTATATGAGGTACCTAGAATAGCCAAATTCATAGAGACAGAAAGTAGAATAGTGGTTGTTAGGGGCTGGGAGGAAAGAGGGTATGAGGAGTTATTGTTTGATGGGTAGAGTTTCTGTTTGGGATGATGAAAAAATTCTGGAAATGGATGGTGGTAATGGTTGCACAGCATTGCGAAGGTACTTAGTGCCACTAATTTATACACTTTAAGATGATTAAAACGGTAAACTTTATGGTATATACATTTTGCCACAATAGAAATATCTGAAATGAAAAAAATTAGTT